TATATTGTTTATATATATATATATATATATATATATATATGATTTTTTTTTTCAGATAGTATAGTACATATATATGTACATATATGTTCCTTATGTACTTTATTGTATGTTTCATTTTGCAATTTCATTTATATCGTAAAATAAATATTTTAGTACAATATTGATAATTTTTATATTGTAATAAATTATAAACAAATGTTCGATCTTACTAAATATTTAATATTATTGAAATAAATGTAACATATTAATACGTGTGTAACGTTGCAAATATCAATATACGCTGAGTAAATGTGTTCAATAAAATGTTTTACGTTCGATAAAATACTTGACAGTGACAATATTAATTTGAAGAAATTTGTTGTACTCGATGTATCTCTTCTCACATATCTCGGAATATGATTTCTTTGTATTTTTAAGAGTACTCGATCTTTTTCGCTTTGTCTTGTTTCCATAGCTAGCTTGACTTTTCTCATCCAATTTTAGCAAACTCCTGTATATTTGCCCTTTCCAACGTGATCCATTTCCATACTTTGCAGAAACGTCGATATTGGGTCATTTCGCCCACATATGGTCATAGAAAGTTTTAAAAGTTCCACCCCGATCACTTTTATCTATATTCATATTTCCACGTGCACATATCGTGATTTTTAATCAATTTCAAATTCAATTCATATGCGTCTCATCGTCTGCAGGATTTCATACTTCGATTCAATACGTCCTACAAACGTTTTACATATTTTCCATTTTTCATGAATAATGAAATAAACAAAAAATTTAGGCATATATGTTTTTATATGTTTTTATTAATCCGCTTATCTATATAAAAAAATTAAAAATAAGTGGTTAAAGTTTATTTTTAGAATTTTACCTATCTTATTGTATATAACAATATATCTCATTAGAAGTTATGGCACTTTTGCATATAAATAACGGTTTTATATTTTAGGCGTTTGTAATTATTAGTGATATACCGATAATGTAAATTAAATAAAAAGTAAACCAGTTTTAATTTTCATAATAGTTAATTAAAAAAAAGATATGATAGTAGTAACTTGAATAATTTATAGAAATATTATAAACTAATTTGCCAATCTAATTAAATATAAATTGCATAAAATATCTTGTGTTTATTGTGTTTAGAATATGAACTCCTAAAAATTATCACGATGTCTCGCAACATATGCACCGCGAAACTGAAATTATCATATATGGATCGAGGGTAAACGTCATGGCGAATCAAACAACTGATTACTATGCGGACACTTACCAATGGAATCATACGGTGAACGAAGAAGATACAAAGAAGGAATATTATCTTCCTAATTGGACTGATCTTATTCTAGCAGGATTGTTTATAATGCTGATTATTGTTACTATAGTAAGTAATTATACCATCTGATAACCAAAATGTTATTTACATTAGCATAAGCATCTTTATTTTATTACAATATCTGCTTTAATGCCATACTGTATATATATATATATATATTTTTATTAAAGCACAATTCTTTGAATAATTTTGAATAATATTTTTTATTGTAAAAGAGCAATCTTTACAGATTTAAAACTTTGTTTTATATTATTTAAGGATGATTTAAATGCATCTATTTAAGTTTTCATTTACCTTTAACAATTGTGATTGTATTATTACAGGTCGGCAATACCCTAGTGATTGCGGCTGTAATTACCACGAGGAGATTACGGTCCGTGACTAATTGTTTTGTGTCTAGCTTGGCGGCTGCGGATTTACTAGTCGGTTTAGCAGTGATGCCACCAGCTGTGCTGTTACAGGTACGCATGTGTTCGTCATTATGGGATAAAATGCAATAAACAAGCGCGAAGTGTCCAATTCATCTTCGATGCTATGAGCTTTTATATAAGCTGTCAAGATAGGATCTTATTTAATTATCGCAATTATCGCAGTTGTATTATTCACAAAGAAACAAATTGCGCGATTATAACAATACTTAGGGTGGTATAAAATTATTGTCATCGTTTAAATAATATTACAGGCAGACGCATACATTGTCAATTTATGATTCCTAATCAACGTTATATATGTGTATTATGTGTAGAAATTGATACATACGTTATAACAATATATTATCCAGATTATAAAAAAGGAGCAAACAAGTATCGTGCGTGATAAATGATGTGTTAATTGTTAATAAAGAAATTTTAATGTGGCACAAATATATTTAGAAAGAACATTTTTATTTATTTTCAAATATTTAGTTAATAATCTGACATAAATATAAAAATTGAGATACCACGCTGATTCAAGAGTGAGAATATCCATGAGCATTACATGTTAGCAACATCGATTGTCTGACTGATAATAGAAGACATAGATTATATGGATTCATAGTTCATAGAAAAAAAAAAAAGAAATGCTTAAAATCATCCGATATATGAAAAGTTTGGAACAAGAAATAAAAGAATTGATGAAATATTGAACAAGCGCTATGTAATTTAAAAAGGATTATCGTATTATTAAATTCTTTCTTTAGATAAATCTGTCTTATCTTGTACAAATCGCATTTTCATGTGTTTTATCAAATGGGATATCATTTGAAGCTTACAGGAGGAATTTGGGAATTGGGCGAAATACTGTGCGATTCTTGGGTCTCACTCGACATTTTACTCTGTACGGCTAGTATTCTCTCGTTATGCGCCATATCTATAGATAGGTAAGTCCGATCATACGTATTTTCAAATCTCGTCACGTAGATAACGAAATTACCCTGAGAAGCCATCCCATCAACCGTTCAATCTCTCGTAGAATGATAGATTATTCCATTATTAAAAGAGAGAGATTTCGTTTGACGAAAATTCTCTAACGTCCAGGCTTTACGAATTTCTGATGAAAACCGGCGGCGAGAGCGGACAGATTTTCCGACTACAAAGTTTCCAACAAAAATGTTCTATTATATTGATCTTGTTAAATAAATTAAATAAATCAATTGCTTAATTAAAACAATTAATCTTTCTTATATCTTTTGTTTTACCTATGCACAATTGAAACATTAAATCTCTATGATAATGGAAGAAATCGCTATTTTAATTTATAGTGAAAAAAAAATAGTATTATTAAATAAAGATTTAATTTAATTAAATAAAGATTATAATTTAATAGAAAACAATGTAACCATGAGTATATATTTTTGGTTTATTTTTGTAGTTCATAACATATCTAAAAACAAACTTTTTACAAACAAGCCAAATCGTCTTTTTGACGCATACTCTACGTTCAGTGAGAAGCTTCTAACTTATCGCATTGGGTATGCACGAACTGCGCAAACTTAATAAATGAGCCAAAGTTACGATTCGTTTAAGAAATATAATTTTCGTGCACGTGCACTTTCTTACTCGATTACAGCTTAGCTCTCGAGATCAGGATGCCTCGAAAATTCTGAGACGATTCGTTCGGACAGCATGCCGTTGTCTTTTTATTTTTCCAACACCATTGCATTCTACGAAAACACCTTGCACACTTTGCGGCAATTCAGCACGTACGGAGATAAAATTACGTAGGATTTATCGCGTCACCATCGATATTTCCTCGTTCAAGGTACCTGGCTGTAACTCAGCCGCTGATATACAGCCGCCGACGCAGAAGCAAACGACTGGCCGGGCTGATGATCGTCGCGGTATGGGTCATGGCCGGCGCAATAACGAGCCCACCTTTACTGGGTTGTTTCCCACGTGCGACAAATCGTGACATCAAAAAGTGCTCCTACAATATGGATTCCTCCTACGTGATATTTTCAGCAATGGGCAGTTTCTTCCTGCCTATGCTGGTGATGCTGTACGTATACGGCAGAATTTCGTGCGTCATAGCGAGCCGGCACAGAAATCTGGAGAAAACCAACGAGGAGGAGAATGTCCGGCCACGTCGTAAAATCACGGTGAGAACTGTTCGATTCAGTTCTCCTCAGAGACACGATTGGATGCCTTTTGAGATCAGATCAGCGCTATTATCTATTATGTTTCTTGTTATGTGATAGCTTTCATTAGATACTTATCTTGCTATGTAATTCAATAGAATTTAATAATGTAACTATACTATGTGTTTATTATTAAATTATAAACCAAGTTTTTTTATTAAAAGAAGTTTTACTATTTGTTAATTAAAGAAATTGGAGTATTAGTATATTATACGAAAACTCGAAATAGTTGTGCTTTTCTTGTATTCTTCTTTGTATGTTTTACAATTCCATAATGTTATCATTTATTCAAGACGATCGATAAGCTTTTTACAGAAGTAAAACTTTAATGTGATTAATACAATTACTAGGCACGTTTCCCTATGCTTATAACAGCCTATACAATAATCTTCCTAACATTACGCTTTGTTTATCGATAAATGATATTGTGAGCTAATTTTGATGGGAAAATATTAATGACTCGTTGTTAAATTCAATCAATATTCTGATTTTACGGTTATATCTTGTTAACAATAGACAATTATAAAAATTCGTAAAAAATGCATGACATAAAAATTTATTTATTAGAAGTTAATCCTCCACTTTTAGAATTAATTTATTTTGAAAGTTGTGCTGAATTGTGCTAGGTTTGTGCTACATTGTGCTCGAATTTTAAAATCATGATGTGAAAAATGTGAAAAAAAAAACGATATTTTAGACTAGTCCTCCTTTGCGATTTTTTTCAATTTTTTTGATTATGTTAGGTTGTGCTAATATTGTGCTAAAGTATTATCTTTAAAAAATAATAACAATAGAAGATATGATAAAAAATAGATTTAGGAAAAAATATATATATATAAATAATATTTATTCTTGTATCAATCCATAGAGGATACAAATGCATATCTAACTTATACTCGCTTAACACAAGTCAGCACAGCCTTCGATTTTGTGACAAAAAATAAAAAATAATGCTTTCTCCATTTCTTGAAAAATCTTAATTAACTGAAATATCTTTTTATGAGATAAAACATCTTTTGCAATGTATATTTCACAGAATATGACATTCTTTTCGTCCTATAATTAAAGATGACATTGTGATACAGAGATAGGGATGAAAAAGCTGAAGCATAACGCGTAATCAAGGAAACTGTTTGTTATAACAAAGCAGCAGTTAATACAAATACGACAACGTTCTATTCTGAATTCAAAGCAAACGGGCTTTCAAATAGGAAAGAAATATTAAGGATTACTCTGCTTTTAATGCAAATTGATTCGTCTAACGGATCGTCAATCAAAGATAACAAAACCGATCTCGTAGTTTCACTGAAAAGGAGATTAGTGAACCGACGGTTCTCCCACAAGCGACGGATGTAGAATAGCACAAGCTTTAACATCACGATAGGAGACACGTATTTCTCATAATCCACATTATCCGACTTTACATAATCGTTTATCAATCATTTTGCTCAATATGTCTCATCGGCTTTGTCGGATTTGATTTAGTTACATAGCCTGCAAAAATATCGTGGTTTAATTATGTAAAGAATTTATCTTGTACTGCTAGTAAAATCGTAAAAAGTGTACAATGTAGATTATATAATGTAATTTGATTTATAATGAACTTTTTTTATTTTTTTAAAAAGTAACACATTTAACTTGCACAATATTTTTTAATATTTAATATATTTGAATATTTTTTAATTAGAACAATTTTTGATCATTAGATTTTGATAAATAACTTTATTATAACATAACACTGTATTTTTTAAATAAAAATCTAAATTAATTATTATAATAAATAATAAATAAATAATAAAACAATTATTGTAACAATTGAAGTAATATAATGTAAAAAGATTAGGCATTTATATTAAAAGTTTTCATTTTATAAATCAACATAATTCTTTGAGGTGATTTAAACACATGTATTGTTCTGTAAAGATAACATTGATTTATATTATGAAACTGAGTAAAAGTAGTTTAGTAAATGTTCTTTCCAGTTACAAATAGAACGAAAACAACAAAAGTAGACATTGAACGATTTATTACAGTAGCAGAATAAGAAATGTCTCGAAAAAGTCAGAAAAAGCATTCACTACAGTTTGTGGTAAAACAAAATCTTCTCAAAAAGCTTTTTGTTAAGTATCGAAAATCTACTTAACAACTTTTCCTGCTGAGGATATTAAAAATCGGGAAAAGTTAAAAAAATTCAGTAATTTAATTAGGTAATTAGTTTTAACTTTTTCGCAATGTTATAAATTTTCAAAATACTATATTATTCGAGCTAGATTCAGATTGAATAAGAGCAGGGAGAACTAATAAAATCTATAATCTCAATGTATTATACAATAATAAATAAAATGATTTCTCCATAGATCGACCGTAGCAGAAGCATAAAGACGCAACGCAAGGACTGCGCCGAGAGCGGTATGACTTGTAACAGGTCATCGGAGGATACCGAACTAACGAATATGTGCAAAAAGTTGGGTACTATTCGAGGGAATCAACAAAGCTGCATCAACAGGGTCGCCAGGGAGACGAAAACTGCTGGTACCTTGGCGGTGGTTGTCGGTGGTTTCGTCGCATGCTGGTTGCCATTTTTCATTCTGTATCTCGTAACACCTTTCGTGCCCGTGCAACCACCGGATGTTCTCATGCCAGCCTTGACATGGCTAGGTAATCTTTTTTACATACATAGGATTTCAAATGTGTTCATCTCTTTTATTATATATGGATTGAATTTTTAGACAAATTATAACAAATATCCGAAACATATTTGTTTTAATAATTTAAGACAACAATTATACCTTAAGATTTTTCTACTAAAATTTTTATAGATAAGTTAAAGTTGATTTAAAAACATATATTTATTAAAAGTATATAATATAAATATAAATATAATAAATTAGTGAAAAAATAAAATAAATGTTAACTGTAACAGATTTATATGTTTCGCGATAATATCTGTAGTTTTCAATTTCTTCTAATTCATTCCTTTACAATAGTTTTAAAAATTATAATTATAAAATATATTATTATTTTACTTATAAAATAAAATGATTAGAAATAATTTTATGTGTTTAGGATGGATTAATTCAGCTATCAACCCGTTCATTTATGCCTTCTATTCGGCAGACTTCAGAATCGCTTTTTGGCGACTAACATGTAGGAAATGTTGGAAGAGTAGACTGAACTTAGATGGCACAAATCGGAAATTACCCGCCTCAGTTAACTGGAAGAAAGATACGACGAGGACGTGAAGTTCTCCGCACAGTTTCAAACTTGTTCAATTATGCGGCGTCCGGTATTAGAATGACTGTGGTTGATTCGAGTTAATTTGCAACTGCGGTACATTAATGAAAAGTGAAACGTGTGTAAGAATGACGTACGTTTTTAGTATTGACTTATAATTCAATAATAATAGTTTTTAAGAGGTTTTACAATGCATAAATATTTCACTATACGCACAATATTTTCAGATACATATAGCTATTTTCAAGAATTGCATAGATAATTATTCTTTTTTTGTGCAACTTGTAATATAATTGAACATTATATTTTTATTAAATGTTTGTAAATTTTTGAATTAATTAACTTAATTAAATTTAATCTTAAAAATTTTTTACAATTTTTTTGTGATTTCCTTAATAAATTTTATTAAAAAATGAAAACAATACAATAAATGTATATTTTTGTGCATATTTTTTTATGCAACATAGCTCGTCAAGGCAATAAAAAAGTATTCTTATATTATGTCATGCAGATTGATTAATTGTATTTATATTTAAATAAAAATATAGATAAATTTAAGTGAAGAAATAAACTCAAAGCATGTAGCGAATATTTCTGATAAGCGTATGACAATTCGGAAATAAAAATGAAAATTTTAGGAATAAGAAAATCTATTAACAGTGTATAGTTACAAGTTAATCTTGTAGAAGAAGCAATATATGACTGATACTTAATCTGTGATCTCATCATTATCGTATTTATTTGTGATATTTGTATACGAAAAATAGAAAATTAAAAGTATTTCTGCTTAATCATCATATTGTGCATACGTTTTCTTTCAATTTTTCTTAACATAGATATAAAACTTTGCCCGCACTTTATATCCGTTTTCACAAAAAAAAAAAAAAAAACTACAATAGCTACATGCATTGAATGCTTTTCACTAATGCTTTGGTTAA